CCAAGACAGTCAGTACTTCACAGGAAGCTCCGTCTTCAGGGAAGGCAGAGAGAGTGAAAATGCCTTACAGACTTGCCTGCAGTCCTAAATTTCGGAGGCATTTTCTGAATTACTTTTCTCTTTCTTTTTTTTCTTTTCTTTTTTTTTTTTTTTTTTGGTTTACGAGACAGGGTTTCTCTGTATTGTTTTGGAGGTTGTCGTTCCAGCCTGGCCTCGAACTCACTGAGATCTGCCTGCCTCTGCCTCCTGAGTGCTGGGATTAAAGGCATGTGCCACCACGGCCCGACTACTTTTTTCTTTCTTAAATGTGTTTCTTCTGGATTTTCCAGACAGAATTTTCAGAGTAGCCCTTTTGGAACTCTATGGAGACATGGCTAGCGTCAAAATCAGAGATACACCAACCACGGATTCCAGAGTGCTAGGATTAAAGGAGTGTGCCACCTCTACCCATCTAGCCATGTTTCTCTTCGTTAAGGTTACCTCTTTCTTATGACTTTAGTGTTTGTCAAGCTGACATAAAACTAAGAACTAGGCATCATGTAAGCAACATATGGGCAATTGCAAACACAAACACACATACAATATCAAATGGGCACATGCACCACACACATGTGCTTACACACACACACACACACACACACACACACACACACACACACAGGAAAATGTGAGGGAATGGGAAAACAGTAGAAATATCTGGACACAGAATGTTATTCTTTCAAGTGAGAATTTCCAATCAATGGGGAAAGGTGCAGGTGTCATCTGTTCTCTGGCATGCAGGATTAGGCACTAAACCTCTGTGAGATCTACAAACAGTCAAAAGTCAGATCTGATGAACTAGCAGAGTGCTGCAGGTGTCACCCACCAGTAGACACTTCTTTGGCACAGTATGCCCTTGTCTCTATTCCTAATACTTCTGTGGAATAGAAAGGCCTCGATGCGCTTCTGCAGCCCTGGGAACTTGCAAGGTCATCAAAATAAAGACTGGAGGACATAGTGGAGAGCTCATGAGTAGATATTAGTACTTGGCAACTCTTTCCCATAACAGTTACAGGATGTATATCCTGTTTGGCTCAGGAATCCAGTAAGTCAAAGGCTAAGGTCTCTCTAAGTTTTGGCAATAACTTCATCTGTCACCACTGATGGATAGAAAGCTAAAGTCAATGCCTTTAACAGCAAACTAATTAGTTCTGACTTACCAAACATTTAGAGTCTTTACTGTTAATAATTGATACCATCCAACATACATAAGCGCTTATATAAGGTGATTGGGGAGGTGGGGATAGCCGTGTTGAAAGTTTGATGACAGCCTGAATTATGTGGGAAGATACTCTTTTTTCATGTTTCACAAAGGTATTGTTTAGAAACTTGAGAGAGGCCAGCTAGCCTTCTAGTACATCTAATGACCACTGTGGAGACCTCCTATGTGGTGTCCCAGGGATAGCGTGCCACATGCCTTGTTCTCCTGAGTCATTGGATACCTAAGGGACACAAAATCAGCCACAGGAAGAGTTGCTGGAGAAGCAGGGACAGGGTTCAGAGCCCCATATTGTGGTGGAGACCAGGAGTGTTCTTGTGGACAGGGTCCCGGTGCACTGTGGTGTTGTAACCTGTGTTCCATTGCTGTGACCAAACTCCCCATACTTGGTGCTGTATGTGGTGAGAAGTTAACTTGGTTTGTGGTAGGAGTCTTGACAGTCCCAGATAGAGCAGCCACATCTAGGCACTCTTCGCTCTGTGTGAACTCATGGTGGGGGGAAGGGAGGTGAGTGGAGCTGGTGGAAGTGAGTCCTAGAGTAGGGGCTCCACCTGGTTTACAACCATTGCCATAACTGTCTGTCAGCACTGCTGAATGGAGACCAAGGCTCAAGGTGTCCTAGACCAGTTGAAACAACAGCTGTCTGTCCCTCTGATATGGTGTTTGATGAATCTGAGCATTAAATCTCACAGCAGAGTGAAGGGGAGCACACCATCCAATCAGAGCAGAGCATTGAGGGACGCTGCTTCTCACTGTGGTTATGCTTATAGGAAATGGTGTCCTACCTCATACAGAGATGCTCCAGTGACAGACAGAGCAGGTAGATGATAAGTTCTAGTTACAGAGGACACAGAGTGGTCAGGTGAGCTACAGAGTCCACTGTGGGAGGCTGAGGCAGGTGTGGGATCCCTTTGCTCAGAAGATAGAAACTGTGTGTGGGGGAGGGGAAGGTCTCCAGCTGTTGGCTTGTGCTGCTACATTGCCCTCCATGTGTCATGGCAGTGGACAGAAGCACAGCTGGTGGGAGCAGCAGCAGGTGGCATACTCTATTGAGCAGGCCTCACACTAGCATAGACCCAGGACCCTGTGGTTAGGGAGGAGGGCCTCCTTGGCACTCACCAGTGCTGTGGCTCTTGGCCCTGGTGAGGCTCTTGTGTCTAAAGACACCACAGCTCCCCAGACATATTCTTGGAACCAGGGGCTGATGTTTCCATCCTCTGGAGTGAACCCTCCTGTCCTTCCTGAGACACTGCTCTGCCCTCTCCTGCTGTGACCCTTCCTTTTGCTGCCCCGCCCCCTGTCAGATGCTTCAGCTACCACACATCCAGTCGCTTGCCTGTTGACCACTCAGCTGTCACTCCCCTGCCTCAGCCTTTGCTGTAATGTCTGCTACCTGCGTCTCCATCACCGTCCTGAAAGTAAGGTAAGAAAAAGATGGCTCAACAGAACCTTTCATGAAGCCTAAACTGGCAGTCCCAGGCAAGAGTGTGGGAGTGTCTTCCAGACCAGTGAATGACCTGACAGCCCTCCTCCATAGCAGGGGCACTGCAGCCTCCCAGCCGCCTCCCAGCACCCCCTCTGCTAGGCCATGGGGAGAAGAGTGGGACTGCTTCCCCTCTGGCCAGGGTAGAAATGGTTGAATGGTCAACTAGAATTGTGTGATAGCAAAATTCTGATAGACACTCTGAAACAGCCTTAATGAGGCTGTACCTTCTGAAGCCAGCTCAGATTGTCCTGTAGTTTTCGTGAGGTACCTGTGAAGTCTTCAAAATGTCTGGTGCTGTCCCCAAGGCAGTCACGCTGGCTTTCTGAGGGACAAGGCAACTGGAGCAGCAAGGTAGAGTCGGACAGTGGCCAATTAGTTGTCTGATGGTCCACACTGACATATGTTTGCTTAGTTAAGAGGAAACGAGTCTGAGGCACTTGCAGTATGACCTTAAAGAACACACTCTGTGATATCATCATGGTCTCGAGGTGTGATTCTAACTGAACTGCAACTCCTTGTGTGGACCAGGCTGACCTCAAGCTCATAGTGATCCTCCTACGTCTGTCTTCTGAGTATTCAGATTGAAAGTGTTTGACACCACATCTGGCAACTGTTAATGGATTTTAACAATGCTCACACCATACACATGCAGACACACAAACAACACGGCCACAAAACTGTACATGTCATATACTATATGCTACATACATACCACTCATACACATACCACACAAACACTTTTTACACATACAGCACACACATATAAACCACATGGCACACACACACACCACAACTCACATATGACACAGGCACATACATATAGTACATACACATACATATAACTCACCGAGAACAAAAAACATGCACATCCATACATGCATATACCACACATAGCATGCACATGGACCACAAACACACCACCCAAACAACACAAGTACCATACACACACACACCATGCAACACAATATTATTGTAGAAACACACACACTCTACACAATACTATACCACACATCCACATAATGAGCATGCGCCACACACACACACAATACAAACAAATACATGTTACACACACTACACACACATATAAACATACCACCACATTCCACACACATACTCCACACACAGTCCACAAACACCACAAGCAAACACATATGCTATAGAAACACACCAAACACACATCCCACCAGACATACATATATCACACAGAGCACACACATGCACTACAAACACACACACTATAATATACTGCCAACACTCTACCACCAAAAAGACCCACAGGCACCACACATACACACCACACATACATACCATAGAAACAAACACACCATACAGACAAACCACACATCCACATTCTAATTACATTCTACAAACATATAACACACATACACAACAAGCCCACACATACTACACACACACACACACACACACACACACACACACCACTTCTTTCTTAGGATGTTTATGAACTAACCTGGGCAAGACAATGTCTTTAAAAACTCAGAAATATCAAAAGGGGGTCATGTTAAGCTGGACAAAGCACTCATTTAATTCTAGCACTCAGGAGGCAGAGTCATATGGACCTCTGTAGTTTAAGGTCAGCCTGGTCTACACAGAGATGCAGCAGGAGAGGCAGGACAATATCTAGATGGGATATCTCAAAAGGAGACAACAGCAACAAGGAAAAGGTCAAGTTGAAGGATGATACAACAGCAGGAGGACTTCAGGGTTACAGAGGGGTTCAGGGAAGCCATGAAGTAAGTGAGAGATGGGGGCAGGAATGGAAACAGACAGAGCAGGGACCCAGTGAATATGATGTGGTCTATCCTAGACATTGACTACGAGGAGACTTTTCAGTAAACCTTTATTTCCCATCCAAGGCCCCCACTTTGGAGGCCTAATTGAGGGGCCTTTTGCCTGGCTGGCAAGTCATCATTTCCTTGAGGTTTCTTATGACATGTGACCTTAAACAGAGCACTAAGAAGGGGACCAGGCTGAGCCAGGGAGTTTACTGATCTGGATGTTTTCCTCTTGCCAAAATACACATCTCCCCTGACACCACCCCAGGGAGTATCACGCAGTATTCTGGGAGGAGTCTGGAAGGGCTCAGACACAGCCCCTCCCTGCCCACTGAGCAGCCCAGGGCAGTTATAGAAGGGGCCAGAGCTGGGTAGGAGCACCTGCCATCATTACCATAAAGCTCGCTGGTGCTCTCATGTTGCTTGGAGCTGCCCTGCTCCTGACCTCAGGGGGAGATGGGTACTAGGCTGTGGGTGTTGGGGATGAGGGGTCTCCAGGGCTCTCACACCTTCACTTCCCGGGAAAAACTCATGTGATCTGATGTTAATTTTCAAGGGAGGATCACCTACTCTTTATGTTCCAGATTGTGGCATTTGCCAAGCTATAAAAGAAAAGGTTGAGCTTTTTCTTGGCCCATCTGTGGATGACTATGTTAACTTTGTGAAGAAATACAAGGATGACAGTGCCACACTGGAAAATGCTGAAAATCTGAAGAACTGTGCTGATAACAATTTGAGAGAGGAAGACAAGGAGAGTGTACACAGTTTGCTGGTGAGTTCTCTTGTGTCTGCCCAGGATTCTGTCTGCTGCCCTGCTCACCCTAGGTTGGCGATGGAGCCTGTGTTCCTCCCCATCACTGCAACTCCTCTGTGCATCCAGAAAGAGGCCTCTCCCTGGTTAGGTTATCAGGACGATGGGGCAGGAAGGGACAGTTAGGAGGCCTGAGCTAGGCCTGGCTGTTCTGCTCAGCCCAGCCAGACTGGACCCTGCAGGATCCCTGCCCCCACAATACCACTTGGCCTCCATCAGCCTTTCTGAAACAGACTTCGGTTGTCAGCCACAGGAACACAGGGTCTGGTACCCCTTCTCCTACCTGGGTCTTTTATCCTAACTTGTTAAGTCTACCACTGCACCCCCAAAACACTTATTATCTTCTTGTCCACTGGATCTCCAAAATCACTAAGTAGAATCCAGGGTGGAGAATGTAATTGAGTCCCCTCTTTTAGCTAGAATTAGTATGCTCATTCAACAGGCTTGTGTCATGTACCTCAGGGTCTTCATGTGACAGGAATAAGATCACTTGTGGGGCCATAGCTGGCTGAGGCTCACATGGAGCCACTCCAGGTCCTGCCCAGCTGCTTCTACGTTCTGTCCCGAATGTGCCCATGGTGTCCCGAGGGCAGGTGGCTCTTTCCATCAGCCTGGATTGGAGGCTGTTTACAAGGCTTGCCCTGATGTCGTTTGAGGGAAACAGGAAGGAAAGTTTGCTCCCTGGACCTGAGCAGACCCAGGATATATGGCAGATGGGTACAGCTCCCCCTCAACTTGTTTCCCGTGTATGACCAATGACCTCCCCTTCACCTCTCATGCCTCACTGACTTTCTCTTTCCAGGCGAAAATAGATGCTGACAAATACTGTTGATGAATCCATCTTTGTGGGAAGACTCAAGGAAACCACTAAACTGCTCACCTGCATAGATGCAGGAAGCCCTACCCCTACCCTCCAGGTGTCTAAGACCAGGATTCCAACAATAAAAGGCGTGCAATCCACAGGGGAGCCTGGGCTGTGTGGATTTGAGATGGGGCATTGATTGTGTTGGAGAATGTGCGGGACAATCATCAACATTGAACTATCACTGCTCAATTGCATGCTGCCAAAGTGTCCCGGAAGCATGCATTAGGGAATGCCAAGAGACCACATTAACCACTGCCAGAGTGTCTGTGGTTCAGACTCCATAGGGCAAGTACATGATCTCCCCGATGGAACTCCCCAGAAGCAAGGAGCAGTGATGGGTCAGAGAGGCTGTGTGTGCTGAGGATGCAGTCTCATGATTCTGGAGACAAGACTTCCCTTGTTATTACATTTGTATCTGTGTGTGTGTGTCTGTCTGTCTGTCTGTGTGTGTGTAGAGTTCAAAGGTACTCCTTAGCATGTTCCCTAATTGGATATTGCATTTCCCTATTTTTGTTATAAAATAGAAAAGCTTATATCTAATATGAGAAAAACTATATAGAACAAGTGCAATAACTATATACAATGTATCCAGGAAATAAATTCATCAACAATGTCTAGTCTGCAAATACTTGACAAATTCAGATAGAATATTCTGTTATCTATCCTTTCTTGGTGGTTCCAAAAGGTTGAACGTAATTCACCTTGTATTGCATCTTGCATTACCAAAAGTATCTTTGTATGTCTCTCAACCTCATACAATTTACATATTGTAGGGGAGAGCCCATTTAGATACAGGCCACACCCCTTTGTAGAATGGTGGGTATCTTGGGTACCTGAGCTCTCCCCTACACCATTAACTTAGTGAATGTCTTTACTGAATTAACTTCTAGGAAATTGTAAGAATAAAGTCTTCAATTCCATCAGCGTCCCAAGAAAGAAATAATATTATCTGACTAAGCAGAGTGTGCAAGCAAGGGACTTCCAAAAATGTGACAAATGACAGACAAACCTGGCTGCCTGGACAGTCTTCCAAGGTTCCTCTGTAATGTTGGGGCACCTTTCTTCTGACTAAAGGCCTGGAATATCTGACAGACTTCTGTTAATCAGGATATTTTCACGGGCTTTCCTCCCTTTTCTTGGCAAAGTTTGTAAGTCATGCTCTTTTATGTGCTGCTTGTCCAATTTGGCTGCAAACTGTCAGCAGTCAAGACAAGAGCAATTTCTTGCCCAGTGGCTAACATTTGCCACAAGAAAAGTAAACTCATTGTGGAATTTCTTCAATGACCATGATCTTTGAAGAAGATTGGTGCTGCCAGGAGCAGTCATGTCCCATTGTCATGACAAAACCCTGCTATTAAAACATTTTAAATGCTATCATCTGCTAATGGTGATCAGGAGTGGGATGATGAATTTCCACATAGAATGACAAAAGATTTAAGGGAATTTTAGAAAGAAAGGAACGGAGGATAGCATGGGTTCTTGGTAGCAGCATTTTTCTCAGGTGTGCTCTATTTTGATATCAACAAGCAAAGACTCTCAGGGCTTGCATAAGGGAGTTTTCCTGACTCAGTATAAAAAACAAGGTTCTTTTAAAAGGCTCTACTAAAGATTTTAAAATGTGTACATACAGCTGGAATTGGCAGTGACTACATCTCTAGGCCGGCAGGTTTTGCTGGATCTCAGCATGGACTGAGACAGGGAGCTGGAATCACGCCCCAAACATACAGAATGAAGAAAGAATATTAAGAGCAGCTAAAGAAAATGTCAAACCTATCAGAATTATATCTCACTTTGCTATGGAAACTCTGAAAGCCAGAAGATCCTGGATAGATATGCTAAAAAACTAAGAGATCATGGATGCCAGCCCTGACGTCTATACCTAGCAAAGCTTTCAATCACTATAGATGGAGAAAATGGAGAAAACAAGATATTCCGTGACAAAACTAGATTTAAATAATATGTATCCACTAATCCAGCCCTACAAGAAGATCTGGAAGGAAAACACCAACCCAAGTAGTTAAGTACAACCGGAAAAACATAGGCAATAGATAATCTCACTTTACCAACAGCTAAAAGAAAAAAGGGGTAAAAATCCACATGCAATTCCAACAACAACAATTCCAAAACAAATAAAAATGAGCAATCAATGGTCATTAATACCCCTCAATATTTTTTTCACTTTAGGTTTTTCTTTTGCATTTCATTTATGATCCAGTTTCACATTCTCACAGGGTCAGCAGTTACAATAGCCACCTCCAGACATCACCCACAGTCCGAAGCGGCCAAACATCCGAGCTGAGGTTAAAGGTACAGCACAGACATGCTTGTAAAAGAAAACAAAATTGCACAATTCATCCTTCATCTCATATTCTTAAACCAATGCCCGACACAAAGGCCGATTGCTGAGGAACGGAAACCCCTTTCTTCATGCTTCAAACTAAACATTAAACTTATCTGACAGGCTGAGCAAGGTCTCTTCAATAATTAATGGTAAACACATGAAAACCCCTTTATGATCCATAAATATTTTGTTACATAGGGTACAAAAATACTTTTCAGGTTTTGGTTGTTTTCAGAGTTCAGGAAGAATGAAGAGCAGTGGCAGGGTAGGGTGCTCTGGGGGAGGGAGGCACAGCTTCTTAGGCTTGTCAGCCCTCTGGAGAAGGAGACGATCAGGACTCTGATTGGAGGTGAAAGTCAGAGGCTGCGGATCTGCTGCCAGATGAGGATGGAGTCTGCGTGTATGCGTGCGCGTGTGTGCGTGTGTGTTTATGTGTGTGTGCAGCGGGGCCTTCAGGTCAGAAGTGGCTGCAAGGCTCAGGCCTCCCTGAAGTAGGGTGGGTGTAGGAGTCAGGAGTAGAGAGAGAGACTAGGCTTGACAAGCCTCCAGTGCCAAGACCTGTTGCTATGGCGACAGTGTAGGAACAAACTGTACAAGTGTCACAATCCATAAACATGCGAAATTAAATGTCCCTTTTCCTTGATGGGGAACTACAGAAGTAAGTTTGAGCAGGAGGTCAGGCTGTGCTGGGTTCCCAGTGAGGCCGGCAAGCTGGGCCTAGGTGTCCGGGTAAGAAGGCCTCCCGATCCTCCTGGAAGGCCTTGGAGAACTGAGGGAGGAGGAAACGAGAGCCATCCACTGAGTCAGGCTTCAGATTCACAGTGTCTAGAGGGGAGCAGCAATTCTGCACAGGCCTCAGGTGGCAGTAGGGCAGAGCCCTGTTTTGGCCCCAAACAACCCAGGACCAACTCCAGGGTAACAAGACTGAGGAGCTAACAGAACTGGCGATACTTCCATCCTTGCTGAGCGGTATCAGAAGAGGGATACCAGCGCACCTGAGCATGGAGGGTGGCAGCGGCAGCGGTGGCGGCTGGGTAGGTGAGCGTAGTATGTGAAATGGCTGGCGTCAGCTCTGTAGTGTAGAGAGGGTAAGGGGTCCAGGCCTCTGGGGATGCAGGAATCAGAGCAGCCCCCATCAGGTCATAAGGGTCCCATGCAATCAAATGTGCTCCCAGGGCAGGGTGGACATTGGTGGGATTTGGTGTTGCTATTAGCTTGCTTTTGGCCATCTTGGTGTTGGCTTTGGCAAACTCTAGCCTCAGGGTCTGGGGGTTCTCAGGATCAAAGCGAATACCATTCAATGCCTTTTTGGCTGCTTCTGCTCCTGCCCGGCTGTCAAAGATCACAAAACCAACAGGCTGTCTTGAAGTGAGCTTGATCAGGGACCCTTCATAGCCCTTGAATGGCCGGAAAAGCAGGTACAGTTCTCTAGGTTTAATATCCACAGGGAATAGCTAATCCCACTTTACCAGCAGCTAAAAGAAAAAAGGGGTGAAAATCCACGCACAAATCCAACAACAAAAACAACTCCAAAACAAACAAAAATGAGCAATCAATGGTCATTAATACCTCTCAATATTAATGGTCTTCATTTGCCCACAAAAAGACACAGGCTAACAGAATGGATTTGAAGACAGAACCCATTCTTCTTCTGCATACAAGAAACACACCTCAGCTTCAAAGACAGATATTACCTCACAGTTAAGTGGTAGGAAAAGATCTTCCAATCAAATGGCAAGCATGCCAGTATCTTAAGGCTGGCATCATATTTTCTAAAATGGCTCGTCTCTCTTTAATCAGATACTGAGTATATCCTCCGGGCAGTGTTCTGTAAGGAATTCCCTTCGTTTCACAGCATTAAGGAAATCTCCCAGAGTTTGATTACTAACCTTATTGTATCCAGCTTCTATATAAACAGTCTGGTAAATGGAGGTGCCTCTAGTAGTGGGTTATCCACCTCAGGGCTGGTGGCATTGCCAGCCTCCTTTTTAGAATCTGGGTCAGCCTGTGCTTGGGAAACAGATAGCAAAGTGATTAAATAGATTACGCAGAAAAGCATAAAGAGAATAGAACATATTGCTCAGCAGCGCAGGGATCTTCTGGCGGCTCTCATGGGTCGGGCTTCTCTCCAGGAGACTGCCTGGGGCTCCGCTTCGAGAAGCTCTGACCCCATCCCTTCAGGCGGTTCCCCCCAGTAGAGCAGCATTCTGCTACAGTTACACAGGGGTCACCGCTGTGGGTGTAGCAATGGTCAAAAAATTTAAAATGTAATTTCTCTTTAATTTTTCTAGCCTCACAAGGAGCTGTAGGGAGAAGGAGTAACTGAGCAATCCGTTCTCCTGCAGGGATGGCAACAACCCCACTGCCCACTGATGTCATTATTTTAATCTCCCCCTCACTATCCTGGTCTATAACACCAGGGTGTACCTGGATGCCTCGAAGAATAGTACTGGACCGTCCCAAGAGTAGTCCGACCGTGCCTGGGGGCAATGGCCCATGCACCCCAGTAGGGAGGGCCTGGATCCCCATTTCTGGTGTTAGGATTGCCCGGGCAGAGGGAGCGAGGTCCAATCCTGCACTCCCCGAGGTGGCTCTAAGGAGGTCTGAGATATGAAGGGGTTGCTCTGGGGGAGAAAATGAATCCTGCCACTGCCCGGAGCAGGGGTCATTGCCCCGTACACATTGGTTTTGGGGCCCTGGGGCGGGGCCCTCCTCCCGTTTCCCTGATTTTTATTAGCAGGAAGGAAATTTCCCTCCCGGTCAGTTTTAGAGTAACAGTCTTTGGCCCAATGATATCCCCTTCGGCAACGGGAGCATAAACCAGGTCGCTTGAGACCCGTAGTACTATTTTGAGGGCACTCTCTATGGAAGTGTCCCTCCCTACCACAGCTGAAACATGTTTTTCTCCCTCCCAGAGTAGGTCTTTCTTTCCCCACTTGGGGCCGAATGGCAGCAGCTAACACTTGGCCCTGGATGAAGTTCCCATCAATGTCCCTACAAATCCGGATATAGTCATTTAGACTTTTATTGCGATAGGGGCGAAGGGCTTCCTTACAATACTTATTTGCATTTTCAAATGCCATCTGCTTGATGACCGGCATCGCAGGCCCAATGCCCCCAAATATTCTTTCTGCTACCTGACTGAGACGGTCTACGAAGTCTTGAAAAGGTTCAGAGGGTCCTTGAAGGACTTTGGACAGATGATCCCCTCCTTCCTTGGAAGGCAATGCTTTCCAAGCCCCTTGGGCCGCTGCTGCCACTTGGGCATAGACTGCGATGTCATATTGCATTTGTTGCTGAATGGTGGCGTATTGACCACTCCCGGTAAGCATCTCCACATTTCTCTGGGGCTGTCCGGCCTGTGCATTTCTTTGGGCTGTCTGGCTGCATCTTTCCTGAAACTCACCTCTCCAAATCAAATAATCTCCCCCTGATAGAGTCGCTCGGCAAAGCTGCTGCCAATCACTAGGTGTCAAGTTAAGAGACGCAAAAGATTCCATTAAGGAAAGTGTAAAGGGAGCCTGTGCTCCATAATTTAAAGTTGCCTCCTTAAGTTGTTTTATATCCTTAAAATTTAAAGGGTTATGATGCCGAATGACCTGTCCAGAATTGTTCGGGTCTGGAACTTCCAGTACTGGGGCCACCACCGGGCAGCATTGGACCCCTCCTCTGGGTCTTCCCTCCAGGTCCGAGAAGGACTGGGTTATCTCATAGGAGGAGTCCCTTTTTTCAGAGTATGGAGAAGGGTTTCTCTTTCTGTCCTGTCTTTCCTTAATTCGAATCTTTTTTAGTTCTTTTTTAAGGGCTGCGATCTCAGCAAGTAACCATTCCTTTTCAGACTGTGACGAGTCTGAGTCTGAGCTACTTCCATTTTCTAGGTCTGATAGAGAAGAATATAACCGATTCTGACCGGAGTTCTTCTGTTTGGGTCGCGCCCGGAGATCTCTACCCGTTTTTTTGTTGTTACTAAGAGACTCCCCTTCATCCTCACTAACAATGGAGCCTCTAGTTTCAGTCAGGGTCCCTTCAGATGATTCATCATCACTCTCTGCCCCTGAACTCAAGGAGGCTTGAGTCTCAGTCTCTTGTAACTCTAAAAAAGCCTCTTTTGTGTCCTGAACTACCTGGCAGTGACGAACCTTATCTGTCAAAAGTGCTCCCCTCACTAATCTCCATAAGGAGAATGTCGTAGGGGGTAAGGACTCAGATCCCTCTTTTCGTAAAAGTCTATGAAGATCACGGCGAACCTCCTCCCAATCTGGTATATTTAAGTTTCCCCCAGTAATGAACCATGGACTGGCTCGTTCGATCGATTTTAGAAAGCCTTCTAGGGTTTTAGACTTGACTGCAGTCCCATGTTCTTTAAGTAACTTTTTTAGTTGATACTGCAATGATTCTAGCTTCCCGGGACTATTCCCCATAGTTTCTTAAGCCCGTCCACTTACCTCGCTTTCACGATCTCGGTAGGACCTCCAATTGTCGCGTCTGCTGCGCGGCCTGTGTCCGAGAACGTGCGGAGGGTGTCGGGGATTGACAACACAGAGACTTGTTCAACGGTGTAAAGAAAACTTTAAGCAGGCCCCAAAAAGGTTCAAGAAAACTTCCTAAGAAAGGCTCCCACCAGAGAAGCTTCTGCTCTCTCCTCTCCCCTCTGGTTCTGCTCTGACACCAAAAACTGATCTGGGCATGGCAGAAGAGGTGATTAGTCTTTGGACAAGGTCGAGGTCAGGGTGGTTTCTGTGGGCAGGACTTTTCCAGGAACTTAATGCCCCCAGACATTGTATTGTTTTTAGTAAACATGTTTTTAGTAAACATTGTCTTACAGCTGCCTACTCCCAGGCAGAAGGGGAAGTGGGTCTCTGCTCAAGGTCTGGTGTTCCCACACAAGATAGCTGTCTGGGATCCCTTTGCTCAGAAGATAGAAACTGTGGGGGGGAGGGCAAGGTCTCCAGCTGCCGGCTTAGGCTGCTCCATTGCCCTCCATGTGTCACAGCAGTGGACAGAAGCACAGCTGGGGGGGGGAGCAGCAGCAGGTGGTACCCTAGGTGAGCAGGCCTCACACTAGCATAGACCCAGGACCCCGTGGTTAGGAAGGAGGACCTCTTTGGCCCTCACCAGTGCTGTGACTCTTGGCCCTGGTGAGGCTCTTGTGTCAAAGTCACCACAGCTCCCCGGACATACTCTGGGAACTAGGGGCTGATGTTTCCATCCTCTGGAGTGAACCCTTCTGTCCATCCAAAGACACTACTCTGATCTCTTTCTGTGACTCTTCCTTTTCCTTCCCCATCCCCTGTCAGATGCTTCAGCTACCACACATCCAGTCACTTGCCTGCTGACCACTCAGCTGTCACTCCCCTGCCTCAGACTTTGGTGCACTGTCTGCTGCCTGCATCTCCATCCCTGTCCTGAAAGAAGGGCCATAAGAAGTCGACTCAACAGAACCTTTCATGAGGCCTAAAATGTCAGTCCCAGGAGAGAGAGTGGGAACCTTTCCAGACCAGTGAATGACCTGACAGCCCACCTCCATAGCAGGGGCACTACAGCCTACACAGCCACCTCCCAGCACCCCCTCTGCTAGGCCACGGGGAGAAGGGTAGGACTCCTTCCCCTCTGGCCAGGGTAGAAGTGGTTGAAGGGTCAACTAGAATTGTGTGATAGCAAAACTCTTATAGACACTCTGAAATATCCACACTTAGGGTGTGCCTTCTGAAGCCCGGGTTACCAGCTCAGATTGCACTCTAGTCTCTCCAAATGACATCTTCAAAATGGCTGGTGCTGGTCCAAGGCAGTCATGTGGATTTTTGTGGGAAAAGGCACGCAGAGCAGCAAGGCAGAGTCGAGCAGTGTCCATTTGGGGGTCAATTGTTCCACACTGACATGTCTTTCTTATTTATGCGAAAATTACCGTAGGTCTCTTGCAGTATGACCGTAAAGAACACTCTCATGGTGATATTATCAGGGTCTCACTGTGTTATTCTGGCTGGCCTGGAACTCCCTGTGTGACTCAAACTCACAGAGATGCTGCTGCCTTCTGTGTGCTAGGATTGAAAATGTGTGACTGCACGGCACGCTTTCTTTTTTAATATTTTTTAATTATTTTAATTTTAAATAGCTTGTTTTACAAGTCAATCCCAGTTCCCTCCCCTCTTCCTGCACCCCCGATTCCCCCATCCTCCCACCCTATTGCCAATTCCTTCCACAAAGGGGATATCTAGAGTCTGTCACTTCACTCAGGGTAGGGTCCAGGCACTTCCCTAAGAGTCCAGGCTGAGAGAGCATCCCTCTTTGTGTTATGGACACACCATGTCTGTTAGTATTCGAGGGATAAACACTGATCCACTGCTCGGGACACCATAGGTTGCCCAGGCCTCCTCATTGATTCTCACATTCAGAGGGTCTGGATCGGTCCCATGCTGGCTTCCCAGCTGTCGGTCAGGTGTCCAAGAGATCTCCCCTGTTCGGGTCAGCTGTCTCTGCTGGTTTTGCCAGCCCATTTTTTGCCAATTTGCTCATCGCTCCTCTCCCTCTGTCACTGGGTTCCTTGGGTTCTGTTCAGTATTTAACTGTGGGTGTTTGCCTCTGCTTCCATCAGTCACTGGATGAAGGCTCCAGGATGGTTATAGACATCAAGTTCACTCTCAGGAATGGGCATTCGAGGTGGTCTCTACACTATTGCTTAGCTTTCCAATTGGTGTCATCCGTTTAGATCACTAGAAGTCACAATGGTGCCTGATCTGTCTTCTAACCTATGATTCCCTCTTCCCCCTATCCTACCCCTCCAGTAATCCTTCCTGTTCCTGCACGACCTACTCTCTCTTCCACTTCTCCCCCTCTCTATTTCCCAGGTCCCCTCCCCCACACCCCACGCCGTATTCCCCATCTGTTCAGAGGATCTTGCCTCATTTCTCTTCTCTTGGGTACCATGCATATCTTTTTGGTTCTTTCCTGTTTCCCAGACTGGCACTCTCCTGATCCATGTCTAAAATCCATATTTGAGTGAGTACATACCATGTTTGTCTTTTTGTGACTGGGTTACCTCACTCAGGATGGTTTCTTCCAGTGCTATCCATTTACCTGTGAATTTCAAGATTCCATTGTTTTTTTTCTGCTGAGTAATACTCCATTGTGTAAATGTACCACATTTTCTCTATCCACTCTTCAGTTGAGGGGCATCTAGGTTGCTTCCAGGTTCTAGCTATTACAAATAATGCTGCTATGAACATAGTGGAGCAGATGCCCTTGTTATATGAATTTGCCTCTTTTGGATATATGCCTAAGAGTGGAATTGCTGGGTCTTGTGGTAGATTGATTCCCATTTTCCTGAGGAATCTCCATACTGATTTCCAAAGTGGCTGTACGAGTTGGCACTCCCACCAGCAGTGGAGGAGTGTTCCTCTCTCTCCACATCCTCTCCAGCATAAATTGTCTTTGGTGTTTTTGATTTTAGCCATTCTGACAGAAGTAAGATGGTATCTCACAGTTGTTTTGATTTGCATTTCCCTGGTGGCTAAGGATGTTGAGCACTTTCTTAAGTGTCTCTTGGCCATTTTAGCCTCATCTATTGAGAATTCTCTGTTTAGTTCTGTACCCCACCTTTTAATTGGATGCTTTGGTGTTTTGGAGACTTGCTTCCTGAATTCTTTGTAAATTTTGGAGATTAGCTCTCTGTCGGATATGGGGTTAGTGAATATCTTTTCCCATTCTGTGGACTGCTTTTTTGTCTTGTTGACTGTGTCCTTTGCCTTACAGAAGCGTTTTAGTTTCATGAGGTCCCATTTGTTAATTGTCAATCTCAGTGTCTGTGCCACTGGTGTTATGTTAAGGAAGTGGTTTCCTGTACCAACTCATTGAAAAGTATCTCCCACTTTCTCTTCTAAATGTTTCAGTATGGCTGGATTTATGTTGAGATCTTTGATCCATTTGGACTTAAGTTTTGTACAAGGCGATAAACATGGATCCACAGTACCCAGTTATTCCAGCACCACTTGTTGAAGATCCTTTTTCTTTTTTCCATTGTATACTTTTAGCTTCTTTGTCAAAAATCAAGTGTTCATAGGTGTGTAGGTTAAAATCAGGGTTATCAATTCGGTTCAATTGGTCTACCTGCCTACTTTTGTGCCAATACCAAGCTGTTTTCAGGACTATGGCTCTATAATAGAGCTTGAAGTCAGGTATGGTGATGCCTCCTGAAGTTCCTTTATTGTATAGGGTTGTTTTGGCTATCCTGGGCCTTTTGTTTTTCCATATAAAGTTGATTAACATTCTTTCCAGGTCTGTGAAAAATTGTGCCAGAATTTTGATTAGGATTGCATTGAATTTGTAGACTGCTTTTGGCAAGATTGCCATTTTTATTATGTTGATCCTACCATTCCAAGAGCATAGGAGATCTTTCCATTTTCTGGTATCCTCTTTGATTTCTTTCTTTAAACACTCAAAGTTCTTGATATACAGGTCTTTCACTTCCTTGGTTAACATTATCCCCAGATAGTTGATGCTGTTTATGGCTATTGTAAAGCATGAGGTTTCTCTGATTTCTTTCTCAGTCACTTCATCGTCTGTATATAATAGGGCCACTGATTTTTTGTATACCTTGTATCCTGCCACTTTGCTGAAGGTGTTTATCAGCTCTAGGAGTTCCCTTGTGGAGTTTTTTGGGTCACTTATAGAAAATATCTGGAAAGACATAGCAGGCTTTCTTTTTTTAATTTTTTTTAATTTTTTTAACATTTTTTAAATTTTAAATAGCTTGTTTTACATGTCAAACCCAGTTCCCTCTCCCTCCCCTCCTCCTGCACCCCACCACCATCCCCCCATCCTCCCACCCTATTTCCAATTCCTTCTGCATAGGGGATATCTAGAGTCTATCATTTCATTCAGGGTAGGGTCCAGGCACTTCCCTAAGAGTCCAGGCAGAGAGAGCAATCCTCTTTGTGTTATAGACACACGATCCAGACCTCCTGAATGTGAGAGTCAGTGAGGAGGCCTGGGCTACCTATAAGGTGCTGAGTAGTGGATCAGTGTTTATCCCACAGCAGGCTTTCTTAACAGATTTTAACAGTGCTTACGACCAGCCACAGGGAACGCTGAATTCACCACATGCTCACACACCACACACACACACACAAACACACACACACACAGACACGACACGATACACATACACCATTCATAGACACTACATGCCATACACAACAAACATATACCATGCCCACACACATGTTCTAGACACACACACCAACCAACATATGCAGCACAAAACATTCTACAGAGACACACCATACACACAAACACAACAAACATCCACATACTACACACACGACCCACACAGACACCACACACCTATGCCACACACACACTCCACACACAATTCACATACACCAACAGTATACCCAGACACACCCATACCACACACAGCACACAGATATCACAGAATCACATACCATATACACACACATTATATACACACTCCCCAAAAGAACACACATGCAGGCTACACAGACACCACATACATACTACAGAAACATATGCACATTCTACACACACACACCAACTACACATTCGATACACACACAACCTGCAACAGCAAGAGGACTTCAGAGTTACAGAGGAGTTCAGAGAATTCATGAAGAAAGTGAGAGATGGGAGCAGGGATGGAAAGAGTCAGAGCAGGGACCCCAGGGAATACGATATGGTCTATCCTAGACATTGATTACAAGGGAGAATTTCATTAACCTTGAGTTCCCTTCCTAGGCCCCAACTGTGCATGCCAGATTGAGGGTTGAGGGGCCTATTTCCTGGCTGGCAAGTTATCATCTCCTTGGGTCTTCATATGACATGCGACCTTATGCAGAGCACTAAGAAGGGGACCAGGCTGAGCCAGGGACTTTGGTGGCCTGGATCTTCTCCTCTTGCCATAATACACATCTCTCCTCACACCACCCTAGGGAGTATCACGCAGTATTCTGGGAGGAGCCTGGAAGGGCACAGACACAGCCCCTCCCTGCCCACTGAGCAGCCCAAGACAGTTATAGAAGGGGCCATAGCTGGGTAGGAGCACCTGCCACCATTACCGTGAAGCTCACTGGTGCTCTCCTGTTGCTTGCGGCTGCCCTGCTCCTGACCTCAGGAGGAGGTGGGTACTAGGCTGTGGGTGTTGGGGATGAGGGGTCTCAAGGGCTCTCACAGCTTCAATTCCGGGGAAGAACTCATGTGTTCTGATGCTAAGTTTCAAGGGAGGATCACCTATTCTTTGTGTTCCTGATTGTAGCATTTGCCCGGCTATAAAAGAGGATCTTGAGCTTTTTCTTGGCCCATCTGTGGATGCCTATGTTAACTTTGTGAAGAAATACAAGGATGACAATGCCACAGTGGAATATGCTGAAAATCTAGAGAACTGTGGTGATAACAAGTTGACAGAGGAAGACAAGGAGAGTGTACACAGTTTGCTGGTGAGTTCTCTTGTGTCTGCCCAGAAGTCTGTCTGCTGCCCTGCTCACCCCAGGTTGGCGATGGAGCCTGTGTTCCTCCCCATCACTGCAACTCCTCTGTGCATCCAGAAAGAGGCCTCTCCCTGGTTAGGGTATCTGGAGGATAGGGCTGAAAGGGACACTCAGGAGGCCTGAGCTAGGCCTGGCTGCTCAACTCAGCCCAGCCAGACCGGACCCTGCAGGATCCCTGCCCCCATAATACCACTTGGCCTCCATCAGCCTTTCTGTCCCAGTCTTCAGAGTCCAGCCACATGAACACAGGGCCTGGTAACCTTCTCCAGCCTGGGTCTTTTATCCTAAGTGGTCAAGTCTAGAACTGTACCCCAAAACACTCATTTTTTTCTTGTCTACTGGATCTCCTATTTTCACTAGAAGTAGTAGGATCAGTCTCCAGGTTAGCATCATGTATCTGAGGTTCTTCATGTGACAGGAATCAGTTCACTTGTGGGGCCATAGCT